CCTACTGCACCACCTTTGTGCTTTTGTTGTTACGCGTAATTGAAAGCGTACCTTGATATTAGACCCCTGGAGTAATCCCTTCGGTTGAGAGGAAAGAGGTGTCTCTCATGCACGTTCACGCTGTTCACATGGCTCGAAAGTGGGCAAGGGCGCTAGATCCTTGTCAATGCTTCTGATTAGTAGCCCTATTATAAATGGTCATTTATGCTCGGTGTGCAGCTGTGTATGTGTACTCTCTTGTACGGCATTCTTCCTTGCATATCCTCCCTTCCTGTGCGCTGTATCTCTCCGACGTGCCTAGGCCGACCTTACAAGTTGAATTTCTGCAGTGTAGTGCTTTCGCGTTCACTTTCTGTCCATTCCGCTCCTCAACCCACATTATTAAGCGCTCTTATACCCCAAATTTATATTAAGCTGGCATTCAAAGGAAGCGATTACAATAGGAGCGCATCGAGGAAGTATATGCGCTAACAAAGCAGTACTTTGGCTGCCAATGAAGCGAAGTAGCACTTCTACGAAAGGTGCTGGCTGCTGAGCAGTACTTGAAAATCGCCCGCCCTAAGCGCTCCGCCCACTAGTTTAGTTGGTGATTTGGACGAGTTGTGTTGCCAGCAGCGGCACAACTGGAGCAACTCGACTGAGCATGGATTGGCATGGTGCCACCAAACGCGTTGCGGTAAACTCGTCCATACGTCCGCCGTCTTAGCCGCTGCCCGTCCTTGAGCGAAAATCAACGGCCAACAAGGGGTCCCTTTCGTTTTCTTGACGGATTTCTCTACTTTTTTGCCATTGGCGTAATATTGAGCACCCCTACGCCCTCCGAACCTCTGCGGGACCGATCGTAATTACTGCCTTTAGAGCACGGGGAGAGATAGGTGTTTACGCATAGCTCAACGGAACTGTACATCGATAGGTGATATCCATAGGCTACCCTTTTATACTCAGCTTCTTCGCGTATACCAGTTCCGGCCTAGAACAGATTCCAAAAGTGAGGGTACGGTGGCACGGTATCAAAATTGCTATGTTTTTTCCACTTGCTTTTGTAGCCGTGAATTTCCAACGTCATTATCTGCACTCAAGTGGCGAAGCACACTCAAACTAGCAAAACTAGGCACAGTTGATTGCAGCGGCGTTTCGCCCAATAACATGTATTCCAATTCTGTGTTAGAGTCTCTTAATGGTAAATCGAAAAGTCTATTACTATTCCGTCAGTCATCGCGCAATCACACGTGCATCATTCTTCAAAAGGTATTCCATTCAGTCTTCCGCGTGGGCGGGGTTGACATCATGACATCACGTCATGGAGTGATGGCAACGTTGACACCAGACATGGTTTTGTCGGGAGGAATCGATGCCGTTTCCGGCTGATTTTGATAGGTTTATAGATCTCGTATCCATCCAACAACTAGGCTTCCATCGAAGAGTTCTTTCAAGGGTGGCTCACGATAGAGTTGATAATCAATTGCAAATCTGAATCATGATACACTTCGAGCAGAAAAAAAATTTTCATCGTTATGCATGATGAAGTTCGTTCATCCACCAAAAGAAGTCAGGCATTACGAAATATGAAAAGAATCATGTACCTGTCCACCTTATTCCGAATCTCAATGCCAATAATGATTTTAGACGGATAGTCTGCGCACATTGCTTCACTCAGTGATCTTGCGATTCCGAGAAGAGGAAGTTCCGTTTGAACAGGAAACAAAACCGGCCACCGAAAAACAATTGCGTGAGTTTCTCTTCTGACAGGGCTACTGAAAGTCAATTCACTCACTACTCGAAGAACAATTTCAACGAAATCTGAACATTCTCAAAAATTATCTTTTCAGAAAGAAAAATGCCTTTTCCAGGGGAGTTTCAGATGAAACCCAGCACCGGATTTGAAGCTACGATTCTCAGGAATCACGTTAGTGTATAAGTGCTTGAATGTCTGCGGAACAGGGAGGAAGTTTCAGAGGTGACTGAAATCAAATACACATTGTGCCAAAATATATACAAAGTAATTATCAGTGGAAAATGCTATCGAGGATAGAAACGCTGCACAAACATTAGCAAGCGACGTCCAACGGATTAGCTGGTCTGCCTCAAAATTTTCATCCAGAAGCTCGGTTGCACATTTACGCGGCACCGCATGTTATTGGATACACGACAGCCTTGGTCTGCACTTGTTTCACAGTTTCGTTGTGGTGCATATCTGAAGCGAAGCTCTCAATCCAGTAGGCTTTGAGTATGTGTAGGTCAGAGCAAATTCGGACATGACGCTGCGCCCACATCAAGCTTCTTTCACTTGCATGCCTATGCTCGGTTTATCTTAATAGGTCACACGATTCTCCTAGCTTAGTTTGCCTCCGGCATACCCTTACTGTGTTTACTCTCAGCTGGATATGAGGCCTTTTTTAACTAGAAACGAGCCCTCTTCTCAAGCATTCCAGACTGCTGCCCAAATCATCCCACAAAAGGATAGTGGCTCGGAAGACGATGCGAACCACATCAACAGCTTCACCGAGTTCTGCTACTAAGTATATCCTTGCTCTTGTTCGCTTCTAGTCCAAGTTAAGCAGTAGTTCGACCGCGAAAAGTGCGACCTACCGCATGCCGACATCGAAGCCTACCCCAAGCTTCCACGAGCTGTAACTGCAAAAGGCAACCGTACCTGATGGTCGGGATTTCCATCGCAGCGATGAAGCGATGTATGGAGTTGCATCGTCTTTCATTTTACACTACATTACCACAATAAATGCTATGCTCTGTTACCATATTTATGACGCATTCTTCATAGGAGTGGGTATGTTAGCGAGTTGGTGAGCAGCATTTAGTTTCTGCCCGGAACTGCATCAAGAGAATTGGAGCGCATCGAAAATCAAAATCTGTGATATAACAGCCATCAATCCGCCGATTGAAGTTATCCGTTAAGCCGATTTGCCTTTCCCTCTGTGCCACGCCCTCCCGCGGCTGAAAATAGTTGTGACACCTGTTCTTAATGGCTACCTGAACATTTAAAGTACCAAAGAACTCTTAATCAAAATTCGATCCTCATATGATAATATTTCCGACAGCGAACAAAACACTGGAAGGAGGCACCACCAGCTCGACAGAAAAATATAGTCCTGCTCAGATTTGCAACTTACTTCTAATATCTGAAGTTGATAAGATCTGGCCTGTAGGCTGTAAACTCTAGCATGAATGTTAACTATCTTGGCAAGTCATTGGATAGTCCAAATGTGCACTAGAAAACCGTCATGGATACGAGTGGAATTCGAAGCTGTGGCGCATCTCAAACACGTTGAAAAACATCGAGCAATTGTTTTTTGCCCTTCAAACCAAATATTTCTAGTGAATGTCCAATTTAGGCTGTCTTCAAAGTAATCCGTCCCTAGCAGTGTGCTATAGTGAAATGTCATGCATTTTTATTCCGATGCGACCCATCCATTGAATCTTGGAAGCTCAAGCTTAAACTGCTTTGATGGCTCATCTGCAGGGGGTAAAGGACAGGATAGTCTCCACATTCAAGTGGATTTGACCATATTTTGCTAAATACAAACCGAATCCTTCCAATTCAGAATTGATTCCATCCATGAAAAAACTTCATAGAGCCGGCATCAGAAAAGTTAGGTATATGGTGCATTGGTCGAGCTCAATGGGGTCCTTGACGACCCGTGTATCATTACAATGTTTTCTGAAAAGCGGATTTTGGGAGGGTTTGCGTGGTCCGAGCTAGTGTCTCTAGGAAACTATTGTGCGTTGTATCGATACACAGAAATTATGTAAGAGCATCAGGCTGAAACAGTTACCGTAGGTCTCCTTGAGCTGTAAACTGATTGAATTTGGCTTACGAAATGGGTGGTTTAGTTGCGAGAATCTGTCGAACGGCTTCTAATGACACTCTTGTTTTATAATGGAGGGAATCGTGATGTACCCGGTGCTTAGACACGACTTCTGGGCGCTCATGTCATGTCGTTAGGGGGGACATTCAAATGAGTTGGCCACTTACAGTACGTAGGGGTAAGCCTTAAGGAGGGAAAAGCTTATTGTGGGAGGATGTGAGCAATTTTGTTCTCCCTGTTGTTTCTACCCCCTGGGCTTAGTCCTAGTGTCACCTATTACCGACCTTGTTCTGAATCTCCCTTAAAGGCAAAATTCGGGATAAAATAGGTGTGGAAAAGCGCCTTTTCAGCCGCTGGAGCATCGGAAAGCTGGTAGACCGTTTAGAAATCTTCGTGATTAGACAGCACTGGTTTATTTGTCATCTTTGTGGCTAAAAATATGATTCTCTAACAATTTCGTCATTTTTAAATCATTAAATCCGGCTTTGCAGTAGGTCACTACAAAAACAAAAGAGTGACCTACAGCCTATAACTTCAAATGATTCCCAATGTTCACTCCCAGCTCATTAGAAGTAGCTTCGCAGAAGAGAACTCTGTGTGTTTTCCCTCCGACAACGATTATACTCTCAACATGACTGGTCACCGACCACTACAATGCCTAATTTTAACATTACTAGCGACTAAAGTTCCCATAGGTTAGAGCTCCCGAAAGATAAGAGCGGTTTGTGCTTTTGCTACTGGTACTCACTACTAGGTAAACTTATATATCAATGCCTGAAGAAAAAGAATGAAAAATGAAAAGTGAAAACCAAAAAATTCGATCACTGAAAGCCATCCATTTATCGGTCCATTTTTTTCGAAACCGTTTTCGTCTACAATATTTCAAAGCGAGAGATTACGATAAAGTGTGTGTGCAGCGTGGAAGTACATGCACCAGTGGAAGCAGTAGTCAGGGGCCAAAGGAAGCGAAATGTGGCGTTTTTGTGGCCAAACCTGCAGCGTACTGGGCTTGCCATTCCTTTCTGAGCACCGTCTGTGCTCCGCTCCCAGAAAGCAGCGCCCTTCGATTATCATTTTGATGAGGTATTCCGCTTTGAGTGCGTATCCTATAACTTTTCCCATGGAACGCGTTACCAATCAAAGCATGGCCTTGCTGGTATGATGGTGGCTATCGGTTTAACATGTGCAAAAGACCTCTTATTCGGTTGCTAGCTCGTCCATTATCGGAGTCAACGGGCAAAAGCTGTCCCCATTTGTGGCTTCTCGATGGATTCGCTTTGATTTTTTTCCACATGGGGCATAATTAGCAACCCCCCGTTCCGTCATAAATCCAGTCCAATTTATCGCAACCCCCTTCGCTTTAAGTAGTAGCATAGGTGTAAGAAGGTAATAACAACATCCAGATAAAGCGTATTCCATAATAGCAAAGTCGAGGCAGCCGCACCTCGAAGCAGTGATTTCAGGTGAACTAGAATGAGCGAAAAGGCTATGCAAACAGCATCGACGAACGCTGTGGGTATTTTTTATAATCTCGATTGATGACTTCCGTGTTTCTATGAAACCAATCCCCTTTCTGCGGCATTGCAACCTCGATAGGTCGATATTTCAGGCTGACACAACCTCACAATCTTCTCTGCAGTGTGTCGAAGTAGACGAGGAAGTAAGTAGTCGACTGAGTCTCCGCGGTGCGCGCCGTGACCTTACTAACGCGCTCAATACCTTATCTGGTGTTATTAGTTCCATATTGAAATTCAGGCTTCGGGCTTCCATAACCTCCTTCAGAGGTAGCTTGCACGGTAAATAGAGATTGAGGAGGCAGGTCTACTACTGGAGCGGAACAAGGGGCGCTCCGCTGCAAATGCTGCACGTGTGGCGGCCTAATATGGATTAATCTGCGGGAAAGTTCCCTTCACGGTTATCCATGCCCACCTAATGGCTACCCCTAGCCCTCGAAACCAGCCGTTCCAGTAGAGAGACCGAGCAGGTTAATGACGTCAGCACCAGTGATACCCGCCCAACGGCAAAATCAACAATTTCACAAGAGTGCTGGGTTATAGGCATAACTCTTCGATCCAGGTCACCTCTCCGTTTTTCGGACAACTATTCGAAACCGTGTCAAACATCTCTTTCCGCTGAAACAGCAAGTCTTATGCTTAGAGAGGGAGGAGCTCCTGGATGCGTGAGCAATTCCCATTTTCCCCGTCACTGCTGCCTCCTAGGTTAGGCTCACGTAATGCTCCCGTACCTTGCGATAGTACCATTATACCTCCTTCGAAAGTTCAATGTCAATATTTTTATTGCAAGAATTATTTGGGAAAAGAACGATCAACCACTAATAAGGCCCATGTGGTGGTAAAACGCGGATATCAAAATCGGAGATACTTTAGCGTAAAACATGTCTTGCAAGCGAGAAGGTATAGATTTAGTTCAGCTTGTGAATAAAAGGCTACCAAGTGGTGAAATCAGGGGTCGGATTCAATCCTCCCCCAAGGGGTTGGGGGACGAAAATCCGCGGTGAGACCAAAGCTTTCCAAATCTTATTTGATTTTAACGACATACTTCCTCCAAATTTCAGTGCATTTATTTAATAACCACACATATAAATAAATTAGCTCTTATCAGTACAATCCCAGTTGGGATGACCCCAGGAAATTTGAAGGATTTTCGTCCTCCAATCCTTGAGGAGGATGAATCACCCTCCAAACCATTTTCTTGCTCATGGTGGAGGTAGACGCCTAAAAGTACCTTATCTAAGAGTTCAATCGTGGAAGGTGCAGATGGATCATCAACATACGAATTTCCCAAGGTCAACATATAAAGGTTGTATTAAGGTTTCTGGCCTCTATAATTCCTAATATGTACATCGAAGACTTCTTCCCCAAACCTTTACCGATAACATTTCGGACATGAGCCCCTCTTCAGGTCAACTAAAAATCATAGCACAATACAACACAACACATGAAGCATTGCTAAACAACAGGTGCATCCCACCAACGTCGTTCTGTTGTAAAGAAAATAAACCGGGTCGTCAAAATGACGCATGAATTTACTTCCTCCATGTGGAAAAGATAAAATTTCTGAGTTGTGTAAGGTTACGTGGCGCACAGTAGATTTTGCGTGAATCAGGATCAATGTGCAGATGTAGTCTTCAGAAGGGAGAAAGCGATGAGAAGGCGGTGTTGCTGGAAGTGAAACAGCGGAACGAGGATCTGCTGCTTCTAGAGAAGGCCGTTTCTACATTGAACTCGTTGCACGAACATCTGAATTTCTTGGTTCATACCCAGGTTCGTGGGATTCGTAGCTGATTCTGATCTATTCAATATGAAGAGCCTTTTTCAGGATGCAACGCTGAACCGTATTGATGTGAATATCAGTCAAGCCTGCAGAGTACACGGTGAAAGTGATGAACGACACTTCACAGGCTAGAAAACTCAACGAGCAGGCTAGAGAGGTAGCTTCTTTTACTTTTGAATGCGACAAAGAATCACTGGCCCACCCCTTTGATTCACTAGGTACTTGCCCATAGTGTTATACCTACATAGACTTTTCGGAACATGTGCGAATTGTACCGTTTCGCTAAGATTTGATACAATGGCCTCGAGCTTTTATATAATAGTAAGTTGGACGAGCAGGACTTCTTGAACTTCACAAAAAAGCATATGTCCAATTTCCAGCGATTTCCTTCTTCAGTAAGGGGTGTAAGTGAGAGTTCTGTTATCGGCGACCTCCGCTTCCATAAGCATAGTCAAGCTTGACGCTCGAAAGGATGCCCCAGGACCTATCTGGTGTGGTTCTCGCACACTAATTCGAAAGCAATGGCGAGAGAGAGTGAGTCGGCAGTAAAGAGAAAAAAGAAAAGAATCCGTCGAAAACGCTAGGTTAAGGGGCTCACTCACCTTCTAATCGGCTGTGCTAAGGCAATGAGAGACTAAGCGCGGAGAGGAGAGTATGAGGCGAGAGAGCGCAACAGATGAGAGGGCGCCAGACAACAGCCTGATAAGAAGGAAAAATTGCAGCTGCTGCAGCTAACTTTGCAAGGCCCTAACGTCTTCTCGTCAGAGATTCACATGCACGAGTGTCAATTTGTGATTGTCCCCCCCCCCCATCCTGCAGACCGAATTAAATCGGCACAATGATTCTAAACCTGGTTTGTGGCCTCACAATGCGCACGATACACTTGCTATGTACTCTTGGCTCGACTTGATCGTGGGGGGGATGTAAAGAAAACAACGAGACATTTCTTAAGTGTGGAGTTTTTTGTTCTGGCTTTTTTGGCCTTTTTCTTGTTTTAAAAAACAGCATGCTGCAAAAATAGCTTGTCAACGAGCGCTAACTCCTACAAACCTGACAAATATTCCTAATTTTTGTGAATCATGCTGTAGGGAAAGCTGCTTACTCCAACTATGCTGAAGAGTGATAGTGACGAGGAATTTGGTCATTTGGTATATGGTTGAGATTCATATGGTTTACATTAACAATAAGTATATGCTTCTGCTGCCCCTCTCCTACTCTAGTACGGGTACCCCCCAGGAGGCCCGTCGCGCGGCAAGAAGGCAGAGTCGCGGACGAGTCGCAGCGCGTGATGTGCGATGTAGGACGTGGGATTCTATTTAACTTGACGCGAAATCCCTACAGTACGCGCGCAACTCGTCCGCTGACTCGCCTTCTTGTCGCGCGACGGGCCTCCTGGGGGGGGGGGCACCCCTCGACTCCAACCTCCTGGTCCGCCCACTCCTAAATCTCCTCTCAGGCTTTACCAGATATAACCGCTCGACTGATAATAGAGTCATTAACCGAAACTCAGTGTGGTGACATAGGAAATTTCTTACAAGGGGTTTTTTGAAAGTAATTTAGACGCAGCCTTGCAAAATGGCACAATTTCAATCTTCAGAACCGCCTACTTTACTTTAGGGTTGGATATCACAATTGAATTGATCGTTCTTTAATGGAAGCTTTTTTCAGAAAACGATCCTCGTGTTCTTCCTACTCGCCTTGCTTCTATTCATATTGATAGTGACACTCATCACCTTCATCAGAGTGTGGGTTTTTGGAGTGCAGTGACTCACGTGCTGCTCCGTCCTAGCGACCGATTGGGTGATTCGAGCTTTTGCCTTCGATGGGTACAGCTTTATGAGTTCTGTTTCGTTGTCATTGAAAAGATGAAAAGAAGCCATAAAAGATGAAATCAGTTCAGATTGGCTGATATAGGATTGATTTATTGATTACACAATAAAGATTATATAACCTCATCAATTGAATGAATCATTCAATGGAAACCTATGATATTACTGAAGAAGAAAATTACTCACATCATAGAAATCTCATCAGAGTGTATCATTCAGCTGTCTTATCATTATCAAGCAACCCGACGGTCGTCTCTCCTTGGTAAATGTTAAAGGAATCTTCCACGGACCATGGACCAGTGGGCGGGACCGGAAGTGGTTTTGCGACGAAATGCATGGTAGGTACGGATCCACGTTCATGGGAAGGTTTGAAGTGAATCCTGTTCACGTTCGTGCGTTCGACACGTGGATCCGTACCTACCATGCATTTCGTCACAAAAACTTCCGGTCCCGCCCACTGGTCCATGGTCCGTGGAAGATTCCTTTAAGGAATAGTGATGTCCACTCACAACATAAGATAAGCGCCAGTCCAGCCTAGCGATGACCCTTGGACGAAGCGATCCGCGGGATCTCACCTGAAAGGAACACTTCATTGTGCATACAGGGGTGACCAAAAAATGAGACACTTTACCCTTC